TTTCACCATGTTGGCCGGGATGGTCTTGATCTCTTGACCTCATGATCTGCCCTCCTCAGCCTCCCAAAGTGCTGGGATTACAGGTGTGAGCCACCGTGCCCGGCCTTAAGGAATATCTTTTTAAGGGGCCCTTGTCACTTTCTGACACTGCTGTTTCAAGAGAAAACCAGTCCCAACTTTCTGCAGGGGATTTGACAACATCCATAAAATAAATAAATAAATAAAAATTTTAAGACAGAGTCTCGCTCTGTCACCCAGGCTGGAGTGCCGTGGCACGATCTTGCCTCACTGTAGACTTTGCCTCAAGTGATTCTCCTACCTCACCTTCCCTAGTAACTGGGACTAAGTCACGTGCCACCACATCCAGTTAATTTTTGCATTTTGGGCAGAGACGGAGTTTCACCATGTTGGCCAGGCTCATCTTGAACTTCTGACCCCAAGTGATCCGCCTGTCTTGGCCTCCCAAAGTGCTGGGATTACAGGCATGAACCGCCACACCGGACCAACATTCATCAAAATTATAAATGCACAGACCCTGTGATCTAGCAATCTCACTTTGAAGAGTTTATCCTACAGACATACTTGCACAGATGCAAATTATATCAGGGCAGGGACTGCAGCATTGTTCATAACAGAAAAAAAAATAGAAACAACTAAAAGGTCCATCTATAGACCTCTGTTTGAATACAGTTATGGCATAGCCATAAAACCAACAATTGCACAGCTCTTGTGCACAGCTCCAAAGTATATTGCTTGGTGAAACTTGCAAGGTGCAAAACAAGGTGTAGAATAAACTTTTGTGAAAAGTGCAGAGATCATCTATATTTGATTTGCTGTGTAGCATAGAATATCTCTGGACAAATACACAAGAAGCTGGTAACATTGGTTGCCTCTACAGAGGGAACTGGGTGGCTGGGGGACAGGGGATGGAGGAAAAGATTTCATTACATGCCTTTCAGACTTTATATATTTGGAAACATGTGCATTAACTATTGCACATGTTATCTATTCGTGCAAAATGCTATAACATCTACAAATGATTTTTAAATGTATGCATATTGTATTTCAATGAAAAATTGGGGGTTTTTTGTTTGTTTTGTTTTGTTTTGGTGAGATGCAGTTTCACTCTTTTGCCCAGGGTGGGTACAATGGTGCAAACTCAGCTCACTGCAACCTCTGCCCTCAGGATTCAAGTGATTCTCCTGCCTCAGCCTCCTGGGTTGCTGAGATTATAGGTGCCCACCACCACACCTGGCTAATTTTTGTATTTTTAGTAGAGACGGGGTTTCACCTTGTTGGACAGGTTAGTCTCGAACTCCTGACCTCAGGTGATCTGCCGGCCTCAGCCTCCCAAAGTGCTGGGATTACAGGCATAAGCCAATGCCCCCAGCCTTAATGAAAAGTTTTTTAAAGTGATAATATAATACATCAAGAGGCATGGTTTATATTTTCAAGGGCCACCTCTGGCCACTTGTGGCTACAGAATGGGGAATAGTCCAATTCACCATCCCTAGGTGAAGGCAGCAGAGGGAGACAGTCAAGTCAGGGAAGGTGGAGTGGAGGTTTCAGTCAAGCAACACGTCCTCTGTCTTCTCTGGGCACTTGCAGACACCATTCCCTACTCCTGGGCCACTATCAACCTGGCTAAGCCCATCTTCTTCTCACCTTGTGCCTCACCTGAGACATCACTGACTTGAGGAGTCTTCCTGACCCAGGTGTGTTCCCTGTGTGTTCCCCATTTCAGCACCCAGCCCCCTGCCTCATGCTCACCGGAGTACATGTCTTCCCACCCCGCCAGGCTGCCCCAAGAATTCAGTGAGGGCAGAGAACATCACTGGCTTGTTAGAAGTTATCTCCCCAGAGCATGGTCCAAATGTGGTGTTAAGAACAAAAGGCATCACAAAGAAATGAAAAAATGAAGGGAAAAGGCGAGAGCTGTAAGAAAGGCAGGGGGACCAGGTGTGGTGGCTCATGCCTGTAATCCCAGCACTTTGGGAGCCCAAGGTGGGCAGATCATGAGGTCAAGAGATCAAGACCATCCTGCCAGCATGGTGAAACCCCATCTCCACTAAAAATACAAAAATTAGCCAGGTGTGATGGTATATCCCTGTAGTCCCAGCTACTCGGGAGGCTGAGGCAGGAGAATGGCTTGAACCCGGGAGGTGGAGGTTGCAGTGGGCTGAGATCACACCACTGTACTCAAGCCTGGGTGACAGAGTGAGACTCCTTGAGAGGAAAGAAAGAGAAAGAAAGAAAGAAGAAAGAAAGAAAGAAAGAGAGAGAGAGAGAGAGAGAGAGAGA